ACATGAACTGTGAGATCATGACCTGAGCCAAAATGAAGAGTCAGAGGCTTAACTGACTGAGCCACCCTGGCGGCTCTGGGCACCATTCTTCTGAAAGGCAGGACTGGTGGGTGCGAGGAAGGGAGGTGTTTTCTCCCTCGGTGCTAATTGATGCCTCCTTTTAAGCCTCCGATGTCCTGTAAGAGACACAAAAGAGCCCACCCAGAGGTTACCGAGTACTTTCCGGGTGTACATACTGTTGCCAGCACAGTAGATCTAACAAATATTTGAGGAAGACGTCAACTGTTTTGGAAGAACAGGGCCAAGTGCAGGGAAGGCACAACAATAGCTGATCCTGTCTAAGCTTCAGCAGTTAATAACGTAGCCGCAAACAATTAAGCACCAAACAAAAAAATACACAAATATTATAAGTACCCTGGAGTTGCATGGTTTCTGGCCAAGACTAGCATTTCAGGAGGCCTGGGAGAACAGCCCTGAAGTGGGTGGAGGATGGGTGCGGTGTGCGATGTTAACTTTATAAGCCTCCTGACAAGTGTGCCCAGTAGAGCTGTTCACCAGCGCTGGCCCAGGGTCTGGAATTCTCTTTTCACCCGAGTGGATGTTGCTGCTCCAGGAGGGTGCCCCGGGACGCACTTGGCCGTGAGTGTCTAAGGGTGGGGCTCCCTGCTCAGGCAGTCCCCTCCCCATCCAGTCCAGCCACTGCCATCACGCCCCCGCCGCCCCCTCCCCCTTTAAGACGAACAGGGGGTAGGAGATCTCAACAAATCCGGGGATGAGGGGTAAAGTGGAAAGGCAGAGAGGTTGAGGAGCAGGGCGAGGGGGATAGAAAGGAGTTGTGGAGGGAGGACAGGAAGACTCCCCAACAGAGTGGGACGACAGCGATGGGGACATGGGCCCGGAGAGGGGCGAGCTTCCTGAGTGCTGGGCTCTCCGTACAGGGTTCAGGCAGGCACGCTTCTGAATGCCCTGCTTCATTTCCAGACCCCCTTTCCCGCTCCACCTCCCCTGCCTCCTCCCCTTATCCCGCTAGGAATCTACTCGCTTCCCCCACCCTCTCTCCTCACTTCCTCTCCTCCCACCCAACACAGGCACATCCCCCTTCTGTTGGTGTTTTGCCCCCTCTACCTTCTTGTGCTGCAGGGGGATTATGTCCTTCTGCCCTTCGTAGGATGGAATGGATTGAAGGGAATATAATTGCTCAGGCAACAGGCAGGGGCTTTCTGAGGAGCAGAAACCCCGAGAGTGGAAAAACCAGTTCAGACCCTGGGCAAAGGCGGGACCTGCTGGGTGGGAGCAAGCTCTGGGGCGCCACCTAGCAACTGTCCCATCAGTCAGCATCGGGGTGGGGATTCTTGAGTGTCAAGTCAAAAAAAAAAAAAACCCAAAAAAA